TTTTTTTGGTTTTTCTCCGGTACCGGGAACCGAACTCACGACCTTGCGCTTGCCAGGCAGGCGCTTTGCCGCTGAGCTAAATCCCCAGCCCATTTTTTTGTAAATAAAGTTGTTGAGAGGATTAAATAAGTTAATTCATGTAAAGAGCTTAGAATTACTTGTGCCTGGCACATAGGAAACATTTTGTGTCTGTGATGATGATGGTCACAATTATGTTATGTTAGTTGCTGAAGATACAAACGAACAAAACCAAGTCTTTGCTTACAGTTCTTCTAGCAGGGACTGGCCAGTGGCCCGTTGGTGGCTGGGCATAGAGTCACAGTGTGGAATAGAATACTTCTGTCAGTGCAGGCAATTCTGTGCCTGTGTTTGTGTTTGTGTTCAGAGGAGATTATATGTGTTTTCTGTGTGTGTCCGATTTTGTGGGTGCAAGTGTAAGATCACACCCAACAGGTATTCTGAGAACAAGTTTGTCTGATACTACGTATTTCTGACTTTGAGATGCTGGGAGTGCTATATTTGGAGTCTTGTGATCCTCTCTCCTCGGCATTCCTTTTCTTGTCCCCATAGGTGACCCTGGAAGGCTGACTCCTCCCATAATGAGCCTCAGTTTCTCCCTTTAGGGGGATGCTAGGCCCAGAGGGTTCAAGAGAAGCAAATGCAAAGAGACTGAGGCCAGGGAGAGCCTGAGAATTGTGATGGTGACACAGTGGGACAGGGTGGGGTAGGGACAGAGGAGGAGCTTCCCAGAGAGAGGTGGATGTCTGTCCTTCATTCTATAAGCACTTGCAGAGCCCCTACAAGGGCTCAGGGTCTGTAGGGGGCATCAGCTCAAGGTCTACTGTAAAGAAGAAAGATCCAGATGGACAAAGACAGGAAGTGGTTGCTGCCGCAGGGTGGCCTATCCGGCTCCATGACAGGCCCTGTCACAGTTCTAAGTGGAGGCAGAGATGGGGAAGAAAAGGGAGGGCCCCACTCACCCCCAGTCCTCCCTGAGGCCTCATCTGTCCAGATAAGGGACAGAGACCATGAGGGAAAGGCCCTCCAGGCTGGGGGGACCCCCGTGAATCATTTTCTTATCATCTCTTAGTGGGATAATGACATGCCTGCCTCTTTCTAATCACTAGTTTTGACCCCAACGAGGCCTAACACCCACGGCAAGAAGGAGTGGACAAGCCTGCTAACATGGACTTAGGGGAGAAAATACTTGGAGTCTCTATCCTCAGTAATTCCTTTGCCCAGGACTCAAGGGTGCCCCTGCCCAGTACCCACTTCACCCGGAGTCTCAGCTTTCAGACCCTCTCCTTTTATTCATTGCCGTGTCTTCTCTGTGTACCTTCCTCCAGCTCTTTGTCATTTCTCTTATTTTGTGTTTGGTGCCGGTCCTCAGGCAGTGCTGGGGATTGAATTCAGAGCTTTTGAATATTTCACTTTTTAAAAGATCCTGGGAGACAGGGTCTTGCTAAATTACCCAGGCTTGAACTTGTGATCCTCCTGCCTCAGCCTCCCAGAGTGCTGAGATTACAGGTGTAATCCCATGCCTAGCTTTTTAAAGAAACTCTGTATCTGATTCTCCTGCGGTAGACCTCAATTTTCTCAGTTATAAAAGGTGGATAATAATAATAATCTGTTCTCTTAGAACTGTGATGTGGAAGACATGAAATAATTATGTAAAATGCTTATCATGGAAGCCAGGCCACAGTAAATTCAGTGCAGGGGAGCTCTATTATTATTGTTGTTTTATTATTTTTATCTCTCCGTTTGTATCTATGTTTTTCTTTGTCTCTCCGTCAGTCGCAAGTCTCCTCCCCTTCCGGCTTCCTTTTGCAGACAGCGCCCTACCCCTGTTTTCCCTGGTCGGGATGGGCTTATCCAAGGCCACAACTTCGCTGCCCTCTCCACCTCTATTTCACGCCCCACCTCGGGACTCAGAATACTTGCCTAAGGGCAAGGCCTGGCTCCAATCCCATAAATAGCCTCGTAAAATCCTGTCATCAGTGGGCAGACCGATGACTTTCGGAATCTAGGAGACCCAGTCCCAAGACATCAACATTTCAGGCTCCCAGCCCCACAAGTCCCGCCCCTCCCCCTTCGGAGCCTAAAAACCCTGCTCTTTCAGGATCGGGGAATCTGGGCTCTCCAGTCTCATTCTCCCTCAGGACCCAAGAGGTGAAGCCAGCAAACAGCTTAGGTATGTACCACCACAATCCCCATTCACTGCCACTCTGCGCTGCCCCACGCCCTCAGCCACCAGCCCCTCAACCTCCTTGGAGGTGGGTCTGACGCGCGAGCTACTCTTCCTGTATCCAGCTGCGATAAGCTATCCATCTCGTCAGTCACCGTCATTCAGCCAATAGACACTTGCCTCCTCCCTTCTCCAGGCCATTCAGGGCGTTTTCCGTATTGGGCGGGACCCTCAGCAAGGCGGGCAACGATTGGCTTCTGGAGACGCCAGTCCTTGCTAGTCTGCCAATAGGCGGGGAACCTACAGTGTGGGCATCCAGGTTAGCTCTGCAGAGGCCTCAACGGGCTAGCGAGGAAACGGGTTCCGCGGGTCCGGCCGGGTAAGCTCTTTCCAGAATGACCAGTATTGAGCTTTAGGACAGAGCTCCGACAGGAATCAGAGGGGGCAGCTCAGCCAGAGCGAACCCAATTTATTTGACTGGAGAAACAGAGACCGGCGATGCATGATCTCAGATATTCATCCTTCCCCTCCTGCCCTAAACCTGCTTCCCATCTGCCCCTACACGCCCTGCTCGTCCACCCGTTCAGCCCTTGGCGTTCTCAACAATGCCCTCCTCGCTCCTAGATTCCTCCTTATAGCCACTCACTCCCCACTCTTACTTAAGCAAACATTTCCTGAGGCTTCTGGTTTATCACGCCTGGTGCTATGGTGGGGACCAAGATGAGTCAGATCTGGGCCCTGCCCTGCAGGAGCCCAGGTCTGGCGGGAGGGCACTTTGCTGGGCATGGGATGGGGAGGGGCGGGGGAGCACGGAAGAGTCTGTTTTTGGGTTTGGCGTGGTCAGGAAAGGATTTCCAGAGGAGCTAGATTTTGGAAGGGCGTGAGGTGCCAGGCAAAGTGGGAGAGGAAGATGTAGTAGGGTGTTTTGTTGTGAGCAAAGGCCAGAGAGGCATGCAGGGGCATCACTGTCTGCAGGTGCCCACTTGCATCCGCTCTATTAGCAGCGAGATTAAGGCTGAAAGAGGATGAGGAGGTGGATGTGGGCAGAAGCTGGGCAGAATCCAGGCAGAGGAGCTCAGTCTCTGTACTTGGGTCCTGTTGAGGGGGGAATAGGGAGCCATAGAAAATTTAGAGCAGGGGTGGACCAGGTCAGGACTGGGGCCAGAACAAGAGGAATGGGACTGGTGGCCAGTAGCTTAGGAAGTGGCTCTGGCCGGGGCCCACAAAGGAGGGGATGGAGCTTGGATCAGGGCCGAGGCTGAAGGCAGATCTAAGAAGGCAGAGTCAGTGGCCAATGGGATAAGGGGGTGTACAGGACGAGACCCAGAGTTCTTGCTCTTTTCAGGGTGCCATCCCTGAGTTGGGGACAGGGAAGAGGAGCAAGCTGGTGGTGATGACTGTTTTGACAGAAGAGTTAGGGGTCCTAGGAGCTGGTTGGGGAGCTGTATGTGGATCTGGACTCGTAGGGAAATTCTGGGCTAGGGCTCCTTCCCATAACAGGCCTTAACTCAGAACTCACTTGTTAGAAGCTGGATGTGGGGTGCACACCTGTAATTTCAGCACTTGGGAGGCTGAGGCAGGAAGATCCCTGAATATTAAGGCCAGCCAGGGGCTACATAGTGAGTTCAAGGCCACCTGTAACTATATAGTGAGATCCTGTCTCAGAAACAACAGTGATAGAAACCAAAAACCCAAACCAAACCCCAAATTAAACCAAACCAAACAAAAACTAAAACACCCCAAAATAAAAGAAAAGCAAAGCCCCAAACAAATAAATGAAAAGTCACTTGTTGGCTGGATGAGGGCCTCTGAAGTGAGGGTCCCTTGCTTCCTTCCCATCCCTCCAGGAAACTGCTTTCTTGCACTTTCTTCTCTCCTTTTCTGGCAGCATTAAAACCTGCCATCATTGTGAAACATGCATACACCTTCCAACAGGCTCCCACGAATGGTGTTAGCCTTTTTACGGCTAAAGACTTTGATACCCATTGGCTCTCTTACTTTGTTCTTGTTTTTTTGGGACAGAGTCTCTCTATGTAGCTCAGGCTGGCTTTGAATTCACGACATAGCCCAGGTCGGCCTGGAATTTTCAGTGATCCTCCTGCCCTAGCCTCTCAAGTGCTGGGATTACAGGCACGCATCACCACACGCGGCAGTATTTTTTACTTCTTTTTTTTTTGGTACTGGGAATCGAACTCAGGACCTGGCACTTGCCAGGCAGATGCTGTGCTGCTGAGCTACATCCCTGGCCCTTACGTTCTACTCCTCTAAGCCACGACGTCTGGCTGTCCCCTCCCAGGTCCCTGCAGAGCTTCTGGATAAGGTCTCTGAGGTCACCCGCTCATTGCCGAAGCCCGAGGATAACATTTCAGTCCTCTTTTGTCCACAGACAACTCCCTCTTCCCTGAAACTCCCTTCTTCCCTGGCTCAGACGGGGTCTTCCCCCTCCATCTGCTCACCAGAACTCTCCAGTACTCCCTTCCCACTGTGTATCCCACTACCAGGTGCCATGGACCTCTAGTCCCACCTGCCCATTCTTCCTCGAAAGGTTCTAGTCTCTTGGCTGCAGGCAGAAGTGAGCGCCTCCTCCCCCACTCTGCTGCTCCGCGGATGTCCCTAGGAGTGTCTCATCTCACTCTGTCAAAAGCAGCTCAGAGCATCCCGTCTCCTACACCATACACACCTGAGTCTCCTCCCAATGAAGAGACTGTGTCACTGGCCACTCGTTCCCCTGGGGAGACCCCTGTGCCATCCTGTCTCCTGCCCGTCTATAATCTTGTTCTGTTCACCCAACTCCTGCTATGGCTGTGGGAGCCTCACCTGCACTCCCACACTCACCACTGCTTGGGCGCAGGCCTTGCCTGGTCTTGTGCCCAGCCCTCTCCTTTGCCTCCAGGGTGCACTCTTGGGCCTCCTCCATCCATCCTCTAGTGCCCCAGCAGGCTCTTTCAGGGCCCACAACTGACCCTGGTCTGGTCTTGCTCAAAGCCCTTCTGCGGCTCCCCACTATCTCCGTTGTAGTTCAAATTGTACTCCAGACTCTCCATGATCTACCAGACACTCCGGGCCCCTCAGACCACTGCCCATTTTACACCTGACCTGGCCAGGTGGAGGCCTTGATGACTGCCTACCAGCTCTTCACAGCCTGACATGTTTCCTCTGCCTGGCAAATTTGTACTCATCCTTTAAGGTCAAGCTCTGACTATCCCCACTGTGAAGCCCTCCTGGACTCCTACAGGGAACCTCTGAATCCAGGATCGGAAGTCCTTTGAAGTCAGGCCCCTGATACAAATCATTTCCACTCCATTTTGGTGCCCCCCCCCTCGTGCCCCACCCCACCCCCGGTACAGGGAATCGAACTCACGACCTCACGCTTGCCAGGCAAGCCCTGTGCCGCTGAGCTAAATCCCCAGCCCCTATCATCTCCACTCTAAATGCAGGGCCTACAACGAATAAGGCCTATTGAGTTGGTTGAAGGACTGTTACAGCTGGGCGGACCTTGTACTTTTTAGTATTTTGTTTCTGGTTTTCTGCTAACTTTGCTCCAGTTCTGTGGGGAACTTTTGGAGCCTTTTCTTCCTTGGCGGGGCCCCAAGGTCGGGCTTGTAAAGGGGAGCAGCCTTCCACTGGAACCAGCGAGAGGGTGATCCTGCTGAGAGGGGCTGCAGTGGGTGGGGTGGAGGTGGAATCCTGCTGTCAACCTGGATTGAGGCTGAGGAGTGGGTCTGTTGTTAGTGGGAAGCCCCTCTCCCCAATCTGGCCCCACATACCCCAGGTTTCCCACGACGCTGTCCCCTGCTGGGCTTTTTTACACACCCCACCTTATTTGAGAGAGGCCAAACCAATTAAATACTTTTATTTACAAAAAAAGAAACCGACTTGCAATGGTGGGTCGGTCGCAGCAGCAGTAGCAGTAGAAGGCAGTGGTGGAGTGCAGGTCTGGGGACCGGCGGTGGCGGTGGCATGTGCGCACCCTCCTCCCCGGCCCGGTCTCATTCTCCCGGGGCCAGGTTTCAGCACCGGGCCCCTGTCCCACCCCCTCGTGGTCCCCCGATTTAAGGCACAGCCCGCCCTCCCGCGCCCTCCCGCCCCGCCAGACCAGACCAGACGGAGCGGGGCCTGGCCCTGGTCACATTTACCACCGAGGCGGTGCAGATGCGAACGAAAGGTCTTTAGTGTCGCCCCCTCGGAGCTCCCATCTCCGCACAGCTCGGCCCCTGCCCGGGCCGCCTCAGGGCTGCGGCGCGGCGGGCGGAGTGAGGACGAGGCGGATGCGCTCCACGCACAGCTGGGCGGCCTGTCGCGTCTCCCGGCACAGCGAGGCCAGGCTCAGGAAGCCGTGCGGCAGGTCCTCCACCACGCGCAGCGTCACCGGCTGGCCCAGCGCGCGCAGTCGCCGAGCGAACATGACCGAGTCGTCCAGCATGGGGTCCAGCGCACAAGCCTGCGGGACGCAAGGGGCGGCGGACAGGGTGGCAGGGAGAGGGGCGCACAGGGACATGGACGTGGAGGGGGGGCGCGGAGGTGGAAAAACGGGGAGAGAATGCGGTTAACTCCCTGCCCTTTGCCCAGCCTCCCTCACCCAGAGAGCCGCTTTCCCCCACTCTGCAAGGTCCCCGCCTTTGATTTCCCGCTCGCCTCCTCGCAGCCCCCTGCGCCAGCTCTACCGCCCCGGGTCGAACTGCACTGCCCCGTTCCACACTCACCACGATGTGCACAGGCGGCAGGGTCTTGAGCATGTGGTCGGGCGCCAGCAGCGGCGACATGAACGGGTTCTTGACGATGGGCGCCGAGTAGAGGGGCATATGCGTGGGACCCTGGCTGGAGCGCCGCGGCTGGAAACCTTCCGGGAAGGCGGCTCTGTTGCTAGGGCCTGTGTCCCTGGTGCTCACCCCTTCTTTGGCCTCCGCTTCTTCTAGTGCATCCTCAGGCAGCAGAAAGAAGTTGACGTCTGAGGCTTGGGAGGGACCAAGTGTCTCCAGGGACTGTGACACCTCGGGCATCTTGGCGACATCTGACGACTCGGAGCAGCCCTTCAGGGAATCTGTGCCCACTGGGCTGTCCAGCTGGGCCAGTGCGGCCTCGGACACACTTCGCCGTATTGACTCTGTGGGAGGGTCAGGGTCAGGGTCAAGGTCAGGGTCAGGGTGAGGGGCTGGATGTGGCCACAGAGCAGCCTCCCTTAGCTGGGTGTGTAGGTGGCAGTTGGGATGGTCCGGGGCGTGGACTGTGGCTTGTGGGGGAGCTGAACCCCTCTGCAGTTGTGGAGGCTTAGGACATTTCCCCAGACTGCCCCCCCCCCCCGGGTATGGGTAAGGAGTTCCAGGGTCCTGGGCTGCCACTTCCACAGGGCGTCAGTCCCGTGGTGGTCTTTGAAGTGGGAGTGTTTTCCAGCACAAGATGTGTGTAACTGGGAAAGGCGTGTCCGTACACTTCTGGGAAACTGTTTCTTTTTTGGCACAAAGGAGATAGAAATAGCTTCACTCATAGGATGTTAGGATGTAAAACTCAGTGGGATAAGATGTGTGGGCTAGGTACAGTATTACTACCCCGTGAGAGATCACAGCGTGTCAGTATGAAGATTTTATTACCAGGCTTGCCCTGTTCTAGCTGCCTCCAGCCCCAGCAGGAAGTCCACCAAGCTTTCTATGGCCACTGGATATAAAGGGTGTAATTACATCAAAGTGCCCAGAATAGTGAGTGGACCCACAAGGCTCCAGAAAAGGTACTAGGGAACTACCAAGAGTCTCCAGGGCATATTAGCTTCCCTGGGATTCCACACCTGTGGCCACCTGGATCTGTTCCCGAAAGTTTCTTTCACGTTTTTCAGTTTTATCCCTTTTCTTTCAATGACCAAGCAGACAAGTGCCCAAGTGATGCTAAAGGTAAGCTTCCAGCTCACCCAGGGTTTCTGCCTTGGCTTCAGCTCTGTTAACTTTGTTATACTGCTTACCCCTAGGACATGGACACTACATTATCAGATTTTACACCTATATTCATTTATTTATTTGAGACAGGGTCTCGCTATGTAGTGCAGGCTGCCCTTGAACTCACTATGTAACCCAGGCTGGCCTTGAACTCATGGCAATCTTCCTGCCTCAGCTTCCTGAGTGCTGGGGTAACAAGTGTGTGCCACCACACCTGGCTTACACTTGTCTTTATCAACCCATGAGGCCAAAATGCAAGGGGATGTGAGAAAAACTGCATTAAGTGCTGTGATCTAGAGGGTTATTGGAATTGCTGACATAGGGCACCAGGGACCAATATCTTCCAAGAGTGCCTACTGTGTGCCAGGCATTGTGCTGGGCATTTGATACAATGAGTTCATGTAGTCTTCACAATGACTCACAAGGCAAGCACTCTTGTTGTGCCCATTTTACAGAGGAGCAAACCAAGGCTCATAGATACTGTGACTTACCATTTCACCCACTGACCACAAGTAACTATGGAGTGGGGATCTGGACTGGAGTATGTGCCTCCAGGGGGTGCCCCTGGCACCTCAGTCCTACTAGGAAGCTTCAGTGCTCAGTGGCCCACTGCCTCAAATTCATTTTCCTATGAACTCTTCCTGTGTGTATGTATTTGCATCTATCTAAGATCCTAAAATTAGAAATGTGAACCCATTCAGTTGGAATAATTTTCTGAATAACTGCAACTGGATCTACTTTTGTTTAGTTTTTGTCTGTTTGTTTTCTTGAGACAGGGTCTTACCATGTAGTTCACGGTAGCCTTGAACTCATGGCAATCCTACTGCCTCAGCCTCCCAAGTACTGGGAGTACAAGTGTGTACCACCACGCCCGGCTGGGTCTACTTTTGAATGTATAATTCCTATTATTCAGAAAATACTGTGGATTTACTAGAGGTAGAAAATAAATTGAATTAGTTGTGCTTTAAAATCCTTCGAATGTAGGTGGAACTCCTGATAGAAGTGATTTTTGGCTCCCTGAGAGTCCTGCTACCCACACAAGCCTGGGAAGCTCCACTTTCCAGGGTTTGTCCAATCTCTTGATCTCCCCATCCTGGCTCAGAGGGCAGCTGCTGGGGATCTGAGCCCTGTGTACCACTGTCAAAAGTCTGTAGAAAGAACTGAGGAGGGCTGAACTCCTACCAAAGGGACTTGGGTGGAGATTTTGGGATTGAAACTCAGGACTTGTAGCACCTCTTCTGAGTCATTTCCCAAGGCATGGGCTGGGTGAGGCTGTTTAGAAAACAATTCTTGGCATTCTGAAGGACTAGATGTCCTGGAATTCCCAGGATGTGAAATGTGGAAAACCTAGGCTTTGATGGATAAGGGGGCAGAGCCAGCTAGGAAGGTAGTCTCTGCTTTACTGTATGCCCCAGGGCTCAGACCCTTTCCTCCCCTGGGACGCCTGTTGTACCTGGCCATCTTCCTGACCGCCCTGGCTGGGTGTGTTAGGGGAGGCTGTCACTCACCTGTGACAGGCACTGGTTTCTTCTGGGACTTGTGCCCGCTCAGCTCCAGGAAGGAGTTGAGCCAGGAGGAGGCGCCCACGCGGAGGTCTCTGAGGAGCAGGGATGTGTCCCGCCTCATTATCCCCATCATGCCCAGGGCCTTCTGGTCCGAGCTGGAGTAGTCCTCTGTTTCTGCACCTGCAGAATGAAGCGCGGTGGGAGCTGAATGGGTCTCCTCTTTCTAGGTGGAGAAAAACTTCAGAACTTCAAGCATGTGTGACCCCAGGGGCCCAAGAATATCTGATCCATTCAAAAGGAAGAAGTCTCAGCTTCCCCTGCCCTGTTCTTCCTTCCGCAGGCCCCGCCCCTGTCCCTGAAGGACCCAGGTAACCAAGCACAGCAGCCCTGCTTGGCGTGTGTGGGTCTCACCTGCATAGGCGGTGACACACTTGGAGAGCACGCTGAGGGGCAGCAGTGGGTCCATGAGGCTCAGAAGGCGGGAGGGAGAGGCGGCCGTCTGCAGCATTGTGGCTGGGTAGGCTGCCATGATGCCATCAGGGACCCGTACCCCATAGGCCGCTGCTCGAAGGGACACGGTGAAGCAGAGATTCCCACCTGCACTGTCCCCAGCAAGGCATATCTGCTCCCCTGTTGAACCTAGTTTGAAGGGAAGGCAAGGGTTTGGTCACAGCCTGGCAGGGTCAGGGAACTGGGGGAGGAGGACAGGGAAGAGCTCCAGCTCTGGGCTAGAACTGGGCCCTCAGCGGCAGGGGTGGGTTTCCCCAATGTCTGGCAACCATTTAGAGACTGGCAACCTGAGGCAGGGATTTGGGGCTGTTTGGATAGACAGTGGTCTACCAAAGGGGCGGGATCTAAGAGAGGATGAGGAAGACTTGGACACGGAGAGGCCCTGGGATCTGGAAGTACAGGAAATCAGGAGGCTGCAGGCAGCAGCAAGGGCAGGGGGCAGGAAAAGGGAGCTCAGGGCCTGTTTCTGGATGGAGGGGTGTCAGAGGCTGGGAAGCTGAAGGTTGTGGTTCATGCTGATAGCAGGCGTGGTGGCGCATGCCTGTAATCCCAGCACTCAGGAGGCTGAGGCAGGAGGATCTTTGTGAGTTTGAGACCAGCCTGGGCTACAAAGTGAGCTCAAGGCCAGCCTGAACTGCATAGAGAGACCCTGTCTCAAAAAAAGACAGAAAAAAGAAAGAAAGAAAGAAAAAAAGATCATTCTGATAGCACAGAGGGCTGCACCGCAGGGCTACCCTGTATGCCAGGGCAGGGCTATCCTCTGCTCTGTGCCTCAGTGTCCTCCTAAAATTTTGGTATTCTAAGAGGAGGGTCTGAGGAACTGCACAACATAGGATGCCGAGCTAGGAGGCTGGCAGCTCAGGGACTGGGGTAACTGGGGGAGGCGAGAAGACAGCAGGAAGACAGCTGGGGGTGGGATGGAAGAAAGGCCAGGCTGGAGTGAGAGCAGGAGGTAGAGATGAAGTGGCTGAGGTAGAAGACGGGCAAGAGTAGGACAAGCGGGTGGCAGAGACACCGGGCAGTAGGGGACTGGGGACAGGCAGAGGCCCTGAGGCTGAGGCTTGGGAACTAAAGGGGGTTAGTTCCCGAGACGGGCTGGGGGTTGAAGCAGGTTGGGTGGGGGCTCACCGAGGAGGGCGCAGTTCTTGACGGCCCAGCAGTAGGCATAGAAGCATTCCTCCAGCGCTCGGGGGAAGGGCGCCTCAGGGGCCAGGGAGTAGTCGATGGAGATGATGGGGACACCCAGCTCCTGGGCCCAGCCCTTGAGGTAGGGCTCATGGGATTTGGAGGTCTGGGCTACAAAGCCGCCACCGTGGAAGTGCACCACCAGGGACCGAGAGCGGGGTGCATGCTGGGGCCAGGGCCGCAGGTCGAGGTTCCATGGGCCCTCGGATTTCACCAGACTGCTGAGCGCCTCGCTGTCCTGGGGGTGCAGAAGGAGGAAGTGGGTAAGGCTGGGCCTGCCTGGGCCTTATCTTTCCAAGGGGTTGTGCTCGACAGTGAGTGTGTGTGTGTGTGTGTGTGTGCGTGCGTGCGCGCACCAGGAAGAAGGAGGGTACGGGGACAGTGACATACAGCAGGAGGGGCACGCTGGGCTGGAGGCTGCCTCTGCTCCCCCGTGTGTATCAGCTTCTGGCTGAGGTCAGGGTCTTACCTGTCCTTCACGGAGTTCATAGGAGATGAGCCTGATGAGGACAGGCCCAGGGCCGGTGTGGGCCAAGGGAGGTGAGATGGTGACTGTGAGCCTGGGGTCAGAGGTCAGCGGCATCTCAAAGGCCTCAGGGGGCAGGCTGAGTAGACGGCTGACCTTCACGGTGGCTGACGCCATGTTGGCCAGAGACTGGTGGGAGGGAAGAGAAGCGGTGATGAGGAGAGGCTGCCTGCGGGGGTGCCCCTCACTTCCTCTCCCGCCCCCCGGTCTTTCCCCTCCTGCACTATTCCTGGGCCTGGGGCCCAGCAGTGACCTGCTGTGGCTTCGGACAAGTCTCTAGACCTCAGTGTAGCATCCCCAGCCGTGATAGCTCAGGACCCTCGCCTGGCCCTGCGCTCACCGACAACACCTCGATCTCTGTGATATTCCAGAAGGCTTTCCAGAAATGCACGTCCAGGTTCTGTATGACCCGCTCAAATTCGGCCCCACGAAGCTCCGGGTCGATGGCAAAGCGGCCACTGGTGAAGAGTGAGCTGGCGGTCACACCTGGGGGTTGGGAAGGGTGTCAGCGAGGCTGGTGGGTCAGGCTGCCTTGCAGGGCTGGGGAGGAGGGACACGCAGGGAGGCTGTGGGCGGGGCCTGGCCAGCACTCACCGAGGCCTGTCTCGTTGCGTTTGTAGTGCTCCCCAAAGGACACCAGCCCGATGGAGATGGTCTGCAGGAATGGTCGGATGGCGGGCGTGAACTGTGGAGAGACGCTGGAGTCACCCACCCGCCCTGGACAGGGACCAAGACAGGGCAGCAGTGGAGGGCAGAGAAGGGTGGGGGAGGCACGTTCATTCAGTAAGCGTTTCTGAGCCCCTGTGTGTGCTGGGCATAGCTCTGGGCACCTTCACGGGCCTGGTGTTCTTAAAGGGAAGAGAAGTGATAAGCAAATAAAGGGAGTCATATGCAACACAATGTTAAGGAGCAACACGATTTGAGGCAAAGAGCAGGTGGAGCATACACAGTGACGAGGGGGTTGGGGGCACTGAGTGAGGGGAGGGTGCTCATGGCAGGGGCACAGGGAGTACAAAGTCTGGGGTGGGCTGTGCTGGGCATGGGCAGTGAGGGGAGGCCAGCGGGCCAGCATGGCTGGAGCAGTAAGCTGGGAAGAGGCAGGGAAGGGCAGAGAAAGGGACTCAGGTAGTGCCTGGGTTAAGGAGCCTGCCTTTCATTGTAAGTGTGAGGGCAACCACCGGAGGCCTGTGAGCTGGGGAGGAAGATGACGCAGGGGTTCCCTAGAAGGGCGAGGCAGACAGTGGGGCGGTTACAGGGTGGCAGGAGGACAGACATGGAGAGATGGCCGGGGACAGCCTAATAGGCACTGGGATCTTGGGCCAAAAAGCCCGATGGAGGCTGTCTGAGGCTTAGAGATGTGGACAGACCATCGAGGAATGGGGAGACAGCATCCCAGAGAATGGACAGGAAGTTAGCATGACAATGGGGGAGCAGGGTCAGAGAAAGCAAAGCTGGAGGAAGTTGAGGCCAGGGGCAGGCAGGGTTCCTGTTTGTCCTGCAAACACTGGCCATGGCCCCACAGCATGCTGGACACCGGGCAGGCCCGGAGGTGGCTGAGATGGAGAGGCCTCTGTTTCGGGGGCTGACGCCTTAGATGGGGAGGCTGGGCCCTCAGAGAGAAGCTTTCAGCTGGCTCTGGCCCTGCCCCTGGCTGTGGGCCCAGCAGGCCAGAGAGCACAGGGTGCCTGGCCATTGTGGCTGGGATACTGGTTTAGGCAGCTCAGGATCTCTTTCTCGTGACTCCAATGTCACTCTCAGGACACGGGGAGGGCTCGGCTGGCTCTGCTGAGCTGACGGTATTTGTGTATTCAGCTTGAGTGAGGGGAGGTTTCCAGAATTCCAGGCTCAGTTGCTGAGGACAGGCTGGTGCTCAGGGAAGCCTCACTGGGGTCGGGAGGCCGAGAGACTGCCAAGCTCGGCTATCACCAGGGTAGAGAGAGGCCCAGAGAGGGTGGAAAGGACTGCAGGGTCACACAGCTCCAGACTTTCCTACTGGGGTTCCCTCGTGCAACTAGTGATGGTGGATGAGCTGGCACCGACCCCAGATGGGGCAAGATGGGTCTCTTCTCTGAGCCTAGTGTCCCAAGTTCCCCTAATTCTCCAGATCCCCAAATCACTTATTATACAAGTCTGATGGCCTTCGGCTGCCTTGCTCTCTGTGTGTTGATGAGCTTTGTCTGAGGGTGCCGTGAGGTGAGCAGAGGATAGGAGAAGGCCTACCTATAGGGTTAGCCTAGTTCGGGGAGGAGGGCGGGCACCACCAGGGCTTCCTCACTTCCTCTCATGGGCTTGTTGGTCCTCCCAAGGGCCGCCTGAAAATCCTGTGATCCCACAGCCACTTGAAAGTAGACCCAGTCCAGCAGCTGTGGGCTGGCACCCTCCCTCCCTCCATAGCCCCACTGGGTATGACTTCCGGGGCAAGATGGGTAAGATCAAAGAGTGAGTGAATCTCCTGCGTGTAAGACAGCGGAGAGTAGTGGGGCTCCTGGTGAAAAACCCTGCGGAAACTAAGGGTATCTCAGTGTACGGTAGACGCGGTCAAAGGCTATGGATTTGAGACTCCCAGGCTAGCTCTGCGCTCCAGCCAACTTCCCCTTTCTGTTTCTGTTTCCTGAATTCAGTAATACTGACCACTGGGGTTACGCTACGATGCTACTGGGCCAGGTTAGGGCAACCAGTGCCTTTACCGTGGGCCCAGCGGGACCTGGAGCAGGGGGCTCACCTGGAAGCCCAGGCAGCGGCCATAGAAGCAGCCTTTATGCAGCGTGACATACTCGCTCAGGAACTCAGCGGTGAGCCCCTCATCTCCCTCAAAGAAGAGCACCCCTGGCCGGTTGGTGGCCAGCAGGTGCTGGGCATAGTACGCCAGAGCGCGGAGCTGGGTGATGGCAGCCAGGTAGGCCTCCAGTTCCGCCAGGTTGTGGCTGGCTCGGAAGAAGATGCTGCGGCGGTTGGAGGCCACATAGCGGGATTTGTGGAGCAGGTGTGCCAGGCAGCAGCGGGCTGTGTGCACCAGGCTGCGGTACCCATTGGCCGGCGTCTCTGGGTCCAGGTCAAAGAGGTGCGCCACGCCCAGCAGGCGGACCAGGGCTGGCTCCAGCCCCAGTGCCTGCTCTCGCACACCTGCAAAAACGCTTGTCAGCCGCCGTGCTGTCTCCCCGGGGCCCTGGCTGGAGAAAAAGGCCATGTTGTCTTCCGCCAGAGTCACCAGCGACTGTGTCATTGTGCGCAGGTCCATGGTATGCATGAGCCGGGAGGCTGTGGGCAGGTGAGGAGGCCTGTTAGCCCTGGCTGGGGTTACTCCTCGCTTCGTTGGACCTGGAAATCCAGGTCCTATGTGTCCTCTCTCAGGCTCAGCACTGGACCCCTGGCCCTCATCCTCTTTAGGCCCAGAGGCCCAAGACTCTAGGTCCCTCTTCCTTCCCACTCAGAAGGTCACCCCTTATCTCCAGGGCCTCATCCCTTTCCTACCTTAGCACAAGGGAGTCCAAGTCCCCAATAACTTTCTGCCTTTTCAGAAGTTGGGAGTTTAAGCCCTCACTCTTCTCAATCCTAGGAATCCAGGCCCTAGACCCCACCTCTTCAAGACTTAAGGGTCCCTGCTTTCTCTTGTTGGTGACTCAGAAACCTGCTGTCTCTCTCTGGTCATTCTCTCTCTTGGACCCAGGAATCCGGACAATCTCCCGAGCCCACAAGAATCTAGTTGCCTAAACTGGGAGTAGTGGTGCATGCTTGTAATCCCAGTTCTCTGGAAGGCTGAGGATAGAGGATTATCAATTCAAACCCAGCCAAAGTAATTAAGTGAGAGACCCTACCTCAAAATAAAAAACAAGCCCGGCTGTGGTGGCGTAGGCCTGTAATCCTAGCACTAGGGGGCTGAGGTAGGAGGACTACCATGAGTTCAAGTTCAGTCTGGATTACAGGGTGAGACCCTATCTTTAAAGAAACAAACAAACCAATCCAAAAATAATCCCACTCAAAATAAAAAAATAAATAAAAGGCTGGGATGTAACTCAATGTGAAAGCCCTGGGTTCAATACCCAGCCTCCACCCCCGACAAAAAAAAAGAAAAAAGAAAAAAGAAAAAAGAAATCTGATTTCTTAGCGTTTGTATCTTCCCTATGACCCAGGAGTCTGCCTCCCCCTTCTTCCTTCCAGGGATTCAAGAGTTCAGGCACCTGACTCCCTTTATTCTCCTGGGGCCCAGGCCTCCTTCTCTTTGGTTCCGAGAAGTCTGGACTCCCAGCTGGTCTCTTATCTAAGACCCAGGAGTCCGGGCCGCCATCCCATCTTCCCTGCTTCAGCCCTATGTGTGGCACACAGGCCCTTCCTCTTCAACAATATTTGGGAGCATTTAGCACCTACCTGCCCATTCCCACTTCCGAGGACCCTGCTCCCCATGCCCCCGCCCCCTCTGAACCCAGAAGTTCATAATTCAAGCCTTCACCAAGGACTCCCTCCTGTTCCCCAAGCCTGAGTGGAAAACCCTCCAAACTCCAGCTCTGTCCTGTTCCCCTACGGAGTCCTCAGAGCTCAGAATCACTTCTCCACCAAGGACCCCTGGATTCACTTAGACTGCATGGCCAGCCCTGCTCCCATGTCTGGAATATCAGTATTTCTCACCACCACCGACCTTGGGCTTACTGTACGCCAGCTCTGTGCTAAGGTGTTCTGTGTGTTTGTGCATTCAATGCATGCGCTCTCTGAGACCCAGACTGCCTATGCTCAGATCTCTATGACTGCGAGCATCTCCGCTTTACAGGAGAGAAAGAGGCTCAGAGGGCTTCAACAAGGAGCTGAAGGGTGACAGAGCGGCAGCACTGATTTAAACCCAGATCTCTGAGTGCAGATGCTGGTCTCCAACCCAAGACCCTGGAGAGTTTTATCTCTGGTTTGCAAAACTTGCCTGTACTATATCTGAACCCCCATGCTTCAGGTTCCCTGTCATACTCCCCCTCAGATCCCTGTCCCCCCAAGGCACTCAGGCCAGCCTGCTTTTTTTTTTTTTTTTTGTCTTTTTGAGACAGGGTCTCACTGTGCAGTTCAGGCTGACCTTGAGCTCACTTTGTAGCCCAGGCTGGCCTTGAACTCGAACTGCCAATGATCCTCCTGCCTCAGCCTCCCGAGTGCTGGGATTACAGGCGTGTGCTACCACACCCGGCTCCAGCCTATGTTTTGGATTGCTTGTCACCCAGGTCCTGGACAAACTGCCCTTGCCCCCACGGTGGGGATGCCACCATCTGCCTGTGGGACTCTTCCTTCCTGAAGCCTAGTGCCCTGTCTGGCTCCTTGTCCCCTATGCCCTCAGAAGGTGTCTCCCCTGCCCTCCCCTCCAGGTCCTGGGGTCAGGCAGCAGCCATTCCTGTCTCAGCTGGCCATGCACTCACCCCTCCCAGGCCTCTTCGGAGCTGGAGCTCCCTCAGCTGGGACTGCTGGTCTGTGGTTAGTGCCAGTAGCAGCTTGGGGCGATAAATCAGGGGAGGGGCCAGTCTGCCCAGGGTGTGGCCACCCTCTCTGTCTCCCTCCCAGAAAGGACACTGAAAACACATGGTGTAAACAGAGCACAAATCCAAGTCCCTGCCCCTCCTGATCCCTGCCAGCCCCAGATCAAGTGGGAGTCCTGCCCCAGGCTCCTCTGCCCTAGAACCCAGGAGTCCAGGCCCCAGCCCCTCTCCTTTCGACCACGGAAAGCAAGGGCTGCGTCGTCTTCTCCCTCAGGACCCAGGAGTCTCAGCCTCAGTCCTAAACACACTGTCCCCTCTCACCCAGCCAGGCTGCCCTCCCTTCCTCAGAGCGGGTTCCAGCAGCCAAATGCCCAGTGATCTCCATTCCCACCCCCAGGCTGGTCCTGGCACAGGCATCCCCAGCTGTTGGGGGAAGAGACAAAGTAGCCAGTCCTGCTTGTCCCTCTAGGGAGGACAAAAGCCAATTAAGGGCAGTGCCAAGCTCAGCTAGGAGCCTGAGCTGTAGGTCTTACTAGAAGGTGTTCCCACCCTGGGCAACCTGTATCTGCCACTTATCCTCTGCAGCCCTCCCTGCTGTGCCACCCGCACCTCGCACATGGGACATGGAGGAGCAGACGTCACTCAAGTTAGCGCACCAGCTCCTTGCCTGGCTGGCTCCTTCTCGTCCTTCAGGCCTAGCTTGGGGTCCTCCCTAATTGCTCCTCCCCATCTAAGATGTGTGCCCCCATTCGTTTCTCCCATAATGCTTTCTTTCTTTCTTTCTTTCTTTCTTTTTTTTTTTTTGTCTTTTTGAGACAGTGTCTCGCTATGCAGTTCAGGCTGGCCTTGAGCTCACTTATGTAGCCTAGGCTGGTCTCAAGTTAAACGATCCTCCTGCCTCAGCCTCCTGAGTGCTGGGATTACAGGCGTGTACCACCACGCCCGGCACTCCCATAATGCTTAGTTCTTCTCACTTAGCATTTTACACATTCCATAATCATGCATTTATTTACTTGTTTGTCTCCCAGGACAGAACAAGGTTTTATGGAGTCATGAAGCTGCTAAAGTACGGGAGTCCTACTCTTTAAGAATACAAAATTACTGACGCAGAATTAAGCACAGGGCCTTGGAAGGGGTGTGTGCAAATGTGAAGCCCTGAAGGCTCTACATTCTTTGGCTGACTAGCTAAGTCCTCTTTGTCTGTGCCCTAGACTGTCATCCTCAGGAGGGCAGGGGGTGGCCCCAGGGGTCACCATGTGGCTCAGTGGATAGTTGGTGCTCAAAAAGTAGCTGAAGAAGGAAGGCGGCCGGACTAGGCGCAGTGGGAAACAAAGAGGGTGAGATGAGAGGGCTGTCCCTCCCCAGTGCTGGGGAACAGACGGAAAAACGGGCAGACAGGGGCTTCAGGAGGCAGTCAAGATGGGCAGCTGAGACGGTGAGACACTAGCCCACGCCACTCGTCAGGCAGTTTGCAGGTGCATTTGGCTTCCGCATATGGAAACTGTGCTTGGCCATTCTGTCCACTTGGCGTGAGTGACGTGCTTTATAAGCAGCCCCTCATGGGTGTCACTCTTCACTTTTTCTTCTTTTTGTGGTCCTGGGGATGGAATTCAGGGCCTTACCCATGCCAGGCAGGTGCTCTACCGCTGAGCTACAGCCCCACCCCAGGGAGGCACTTTCTGCATTTTGTTTGCTCGGTGAGCTTGCTTTGCTATCTGGAGGTGGTGTGCTGGGTCGTTTTTTTTTTTTTTCCTCTGTGGCCCCTGTCACTCTCTAACATATTATACAACTTCCTTTTTATGTTTGCTCTGCTTCCCTTACTAGATTCTAGGTTTCTGGAGGTGGGATCGTCTCTGTTTTACTCCATCTTTGCATAGTGCTGGGCATGCTTGCTACACAGTTCCTGACACTGGTATTTCCCCTTTCTAGGTTGTATCGTTCACTTCCCTCTGTGGTATAGGGGTCCTTAGGAAGGATAAGGAAAGAGGAAGCCTCTGACCGAGTAACATGGGGAAGGGGCTGCATCTCAGACGGTGGTGCCTGCAAGGCCCTGCCCTGTGTCCTGCTCCAGGCAGCTCCCTGAAGGCCCGGCTAGCTAGAAACAAGAGGAAGGGATACTGAGGTTGCCAGAAACTTGTTAAGAATGCCAGGCAGAGGGCACTGGGGCCATGGGTGAACACAGCATGAGTGGGGCAGAGGTAGGGATCAGGGGCCTGGTAGAGATTGTTCAGCTGACGGCACCAGCCCTTTGACCTAAAAAACTACTGAATAGCTGGACCTTGCCTGGGCTTTGGCTCCTGGGCATACAGCAGGGGTGAGAAAGGCAGTCAGGGAAGGATGTAGCGGCAGATGGAGATGGGCCAGGTCTAGATCCCGGGACGGGGCAAGGGCTTCTGAGGTGGGCAGGCCTGAGATGCTGGGGTCAGACGCAGGTGGGGGCAAGTGAGTGAGTCCTTCCCTGAGAGTCCTTGTGGAAGAGCAAAAGTGCCAGCACTGTTCTCTTTACATGCATCACATAAAGTAACTCGTGTCACCCTCTCTATGACCCACAAGGTGGGGCTCATTACTATCCTCTTTAGGCAGATGAGAAAACAGAGGTGCAGAGAGGTGACATGACTGCCTAGGGTCACACAGCCAGCAAGAGGCAGCTCTAGGACAGCACTGCTGGTCTCTGCCTCTCTCTCTCTTTCTCTCTCTGTCTCTCTCTCTCTCTGTTGCTACTTCTTTCTGTACCTCTGCTGAGTGCTTTCTGGGTAGCGTGGTGTGAGAGTGTCTTTGGGGTTCAGATGTAAGCATGTACATTGGTAGGTATGTGTCCTGCCCGGTAGGTCCTACTTGTGTTTGCGGGTGTGTTGACATTTTTTCTCAGTCCGCACACTTCCATGTTCTTTGTGTGTTGAAGGTGTTTGTATGCAAGAGTCATGGCCATGCGTATTTATTAGCCTGTGAGTGTAGCTCCATTTTTCTTGGCTTGTGAGCTTGTGTGGACATGTGTATGTATATACATCAATATATATATGTAGATGTTTGGATGTGGTGTGTGTGTGTGTGTGTGTGTGTGTGTGTGTCTGATTTCAATCTGTTCTACGCATAGCATCCAGAGGGTCTATCTAAAACATAAATGGGACCACACACTTCTAATCATTCAGTGCCTCCTCCTTGGCTCTTGATAAAGCTCTAGATTCTGGACATGGCCCTCTGAACCAGGTTTACACCCTCCTGTCTTACCCTGCTCGCCCCAGCTTCCTGTTACCACCCTCCCTACCTCTCTGAGCTCCTCTGCGCTGTCCTGCGCTGCTTTTGCCAGCCTTAAGGTCTTTGCTCATGTTGTCCTCTCTGTCTTCCCTGCCCCCTTGCTCCACAGTTACGCCTGGCCATCCTTGGGCTCGATGTCACTCCCTTGGGAAGCTTCCCTCCGTCATTGTCTCAGTTTTTCCTCAGCTGTACCTATCACAGTTTTACAAGAATAGCATTATTTGACTAACATCTACGTCCCCATCTCCACTGTGAGTCTCTCCTGCTTATCACTGAGAGCCCAGACCTAACCCCACTAGGTGTTCAGTGAACGTCTGCTGAATGACTGTGAGACCAGAACCTTGTGGGCCTGGAATCAAGGCTGGGAGCCACAACCACTGCCAACTCACCCACTCTCTGCCCCGACAAGGCTGGAGGCGGCCACCTCTCTGCCTTAACTGGCCAGGTCAGAAAGCTTGGTGGCGCAGGACTGCAGTGTCCTCAGTGACTGGCAAGATCAAACTGATACTAAGCACTGCTTCGGCCAGCCCGGATGCCTTTGAGGCAGGGGGTGGAGTCTGATTCACTTGTCTGGAGCCTGGCACCAGGAAAGGCCTCAGGAAATGACGGGCAGATCTCACAGCTTGCGGGAATGAGCCTTTGTGAGTAGGTGGGTCTGAGTCTGTGCGTAGGATGGCACGGGGAGCCCTACCCAAGCAGATTCTTTCTGACTCCTCCAGACAACCCTAAAGGAAGCATGAGTATTAATATTCCTACATTACAGTTCACACATTCCTTCACTTATTAATCCAATAAATATTTGAGTGCCTATACATCTGACATTGTAGGCTCTGGCGTTATAGGGTAAACAAGGCAGACACAGCCCCACTCTTAGGGAGCTCACTGTTTAGTGGGGACTAACAATAATAATAATCATTTCCACTTCCCCTGAGGGCTTGCTGTTGCCAAACACTATACTTATCTGAACCTCACAGCCATCCAGTACTATTATCATTTTGCCCATTTTAGAGCTCCAAAAGTTGAGGCGGGGAAAGAAGGAGACTGCTGACCAGTATGGCACACCTCTTAGCCTAAGGAACTAGGTCTCCAATGCCCTGGTCCTTCACTGTGGTCTCTGCTGCCTCTGGGTATGCTGTCCTGCTGGGGAGGCTCAGGGTCTACTAGGAGGGCAGGTGCCCTCAGCCTGCAGTCTGAACTCCCAGCTTGTTTCAGCTGTGGGCTGCTCTGGAGCCAGCTTTAGTTCTAACCTTGATGAGTGATTTGGCAAGGGAAAAGACGGGGTTGGGTGGGGGCCTTGAAGCTGGGGGAAGGGCACGTCTGTTTCCTTTCTGCACAGGAATTTCCCATAGGTCCTACTAGGAGGACCTATGGCAAAGGCTCATTACTGAACCGAGACTTAATGCCTGCTTCTACCTGAGGCTCGCACTGTCTCTGTTAGTCTATCAGTCTCTCTCTAGCCTCCTGAGATCTAGGAAACCCAAGCGAAGGTCCTTCCTTCTCTTTAAGGAGGGTGTGGAAGTTCAAAGCCAAAGTGGAGCCCTTGTCCTGCAAGGGCCGTGGGTCACCAGCTAAGGCCCCCGTGGAGCCGGCGCGGTGCAGGCGGACTGACAGTGGATGGGGTGGATGGGTTGACTAGGCTCTGGAAGACTAGGATGAACTGCATTGCCTACTACCAGGCACCCTTTTCTACTTTTCCTGACGCATCCCTACACATCCTCTAACAGCTCTAAGCCATTTCCCATTATCCCCTCGACAGCGCCGGACCTGAAAATCATCTCTTAAATAATTTCCCAGATAGGGAACACGGAGGGCAACTGCTGCCCTAGGTCTCACAGCGAATACGGAGCCCGAGGGCGAACCTTGAGCAAAAAGACTCGTATTCCAGATTCTGCTCCCAAGACCGCACTGGGGCGTCCAGTAGTTTCTCTGCCCCAGTGGGACATTCCACTCTCCCATCACCCTCTTCTCGCAAAAGATCGTCCATGCTCCCCCTCGCAGGACTGCAATGGGTTAGTCCACGCTTCCCCCCTTCTCGCGGCGGTGGGTCATTCCGCTCGGTGCTGAGCACCGCGCAAGATGCGCACGGTTCTTTCCGGGCTAAGGCGAGCCCGCGAGCTCACCTTTGGCTTTGGCTTTTCGCCACCGCCGACGACTGCGGCTCTTCAGCTCCTCTTTCTCATTCTTCGAGGCCAAGGCCCCAGTGGGCCCCGATCCCCCGGCGGACTCCATCAATTCTACGCGTCCCAGCGCAGGGCCCAGCTCCTGCCGCCAGGCCCGACCGCCAGGGCCAATCCTGACTCCACGCCACCGCCGGGCCCCCAGATCATCCAATGCCGGGCGTGCTCCTCGCTGGGTCCCGCCCCCGGAGTAATCCTGGCTCCGCTCCAGCGCCGGGCCCCGCCTCTGACCGCTAGGGCCCAAGGCCCGGAGCCGCCCCCTCGCACCCATTAAAGAGCCCTCGGCTAACAAAAATGCAGCCCTGCAGGCGGCAAAAAGCATCGTTCCGACGGGACTCGTGGGGGGCCCCGTGCGAGTCATGCCAACCAGAAGCCTCGTTCTTCTCACTGCCGAGGTTCAGCCTCGCTATCCCACTCACCTTCCCACGGAGGGACTCCCTAAAAGGCAGCCCAGCTCGACCGCTGGGAGGAGGGGGAGACGAGGTGCCCCAGAGTCTCCGCTGGGGAGCGGGGGGGCGGGCCAGGTCCTACGTCAATTCGAAGTTGGGGCGGGACCCGCACTGGAGGCGTGACTGTCCCTGGGGACCTCTGAGAAGGAAACTCCGCCTCCTCTCCCCAGCCCCATTCTGTTTTTTTTTTCCGTTGCTCAGATCTCTCTTTTTCATTCTGGCGGTACTGGGCATCAAACCCATGGGCACTCTACCACTGAGGTCTATCCCTAGGCTCTGTTCTTTTCTTTTCTTTCTTTTTATGCGAGAAGGCCGTGCTATATAGCTCAGGCTGGCCTCGAACTCTTAATCCTGTCTCGGCCTCCTGAGCAGCTGGAATTACAGGTGTGAGCCACCGCACCCAGCTCTCTTGGGTTTTTCCTCCCCCTGCCCTCTTCCTCCTAATAGAATAAAAGAGGCCAGAAGGGAAGGCCCAGTGCCCGCTCACTGGCTTCAGGCCCTGGGCTGGCAAGTGGGGCGCGGGGAGCGGAAGTAGAGGGAGTGGGTGTGGCTGGGAAAAGGTGGGAAACAGGAGGCGCGAGGCTTGCCCACTTGCTCATGTCCAACTGCTGTGCGTGCCCGAGGAGCGGCCTCATTAGGTGCTGCTGTGAACAACTCTTCATCCTCCTTTTCTTGACAAAGCACACAACCAGCCCTGGCACTGAGACGGTAATAACCCTGTTTACCTCAGCTCTTTGAGGGTCGGCCCAGCCCTTCCAGGGAGGGACAAGCCCCTGGGTAGAGAGACAAGCTTGCTTGCCCTCCACGCTATGGCCTGACAGGTGCCCATCACTTCAGAATTGGGGCTGCGTTGTTTCCCCCTTTCAGGCTATGTCAATAGGTGACCCCCAATTCCACCAATAAACTTGCATTCTCCCTTCTCCACTGCAAGGGTTTTGAGCCTAGAAAAGGAGGACCAGGGCATGCGTGCCACAGAATTGGCGCCTGCACCCCAGGGTCACAATGCATGCTTCAGAAGAGCCCCAGGATAAGCCAGAGCCTGGGGCCCATGGCCCTCTGACACTGCGCCCATCCATCCTTGCTCTTGCCCACCCCCTCTCCCAGGGTCGTCCTTCCTGAAGACCCAGACACCAAGTCTGTTCTGCCTGGCTGAACTGAGAGTCCCTATGGAGGCAGCTTGCTGGGGAGCAAGCGTCTTCCCAGAAGCAGAGTTCAGACCTGGTCAACTCAGAGATTATGAGTTCCCCAGATATTCAGCCTCATCTGTGTGAAAACTCAGGAGAAGAAGGTCCACACTCAGCACTGTGCTGCTGGTGTCACCCCAGAGCTGGTGCTTGGTCAGATTTTGTGCATGGATACTGGGAGAAGGACAGCATTTCTGGCTTCCTGGTCCCTTGCCCAGTGCCCTTTCCTATTTCTTTTCTTTTTTCTTTTTTTTTCTTTTGCTGTACCGGGGATCGAACTCACGACCTTGCGCTTGCCAGGCAGGTGCTTATGCCACTGAGCTATAACCCCAGCCCCGCACTTTCCTATTTCTATTTGATGTTACCCAGATCCTTTGTGGGAAGGCGGCTCTGGGTAGGGGAGAAAAACCCAGGCTTAAATCCTAGGCTTGACGCTTCCCAATGGATGGCTTTGTGCAAGATCATTCTTGTTTAAAGTGGGAATGTTGATTTTTATATAAAAACTGGAGATGTTGATATTTATCTCACAGGCCTGTTGAGCTAACCCAGTGTACAAAAAAGTTCTTAGTATTTCTTGAACGAGCGCATGACTGCGCCCTGGGAGGCTCCATTTCCTCCGGGTTCAGACTCACCTGTGTTTGGGTGGCGTTTGTAATCCTGGGCACTGGTCTTCCCCTGTAGAGACCTTCCACTGCATCCGGGCATTGCGTCGTAGCCAGCTTTCCTTTTGGAGGCTACCTTCACTCGGAGGGCCACTGTTTCATCTTTCTCTGAAGGTGGCCTAGCATTTGTTTCTGACTCTGAATCTGTGACCCATTCAAAAAATGCCTTCCACTCTTGGGCAGATTGCTGTAGGGATAGTTTGTGTAGTTTTGTTAGAAATCTCCACTCTGTTAAAGTTTTCTCCTTGGATTTGGCCTCCGGGGCTGGAAGTGTTTCTTGAGCCTTAGGGTCTGACTGTTCAGGCCTCTTTGGGGATGTAGACTCTATCTGAGCAGGTGGTTCTTCTTTGGGTCCAGATAGTCCCTGGACTGTAGATGCTAATTCAGCGTTTTGACCAAGAGATAGCTCTGCTGGCATGGGTTCTGGCTGGGCTACATCTCCCTGTCTCAGTTCTGATTCTTGTTGAGTTGTAGACACTTTTTCTGCCCCAGGTCCCTGAAGTATGGCAGCTTCGTGCTGATTGAAGTGCTCCCTTTGGGTGTCGGGTAATTGCTTTGGGGTAGGACATTCCTGATACAATGCAGATTTTTGCTGGGTGCTAGGTTCCTGCTGTGATTCCACTTCACACTGAGTGAAGGGCTTCTGCTGGGTAAGGGGTCTTTGCTCTGATACAAATTCCTGTTGGGTGCTGGGTTCCTGCTGAGGTTTCCATTCTGGCTGGACTGTGGGACTTTTTTTTGACCCAGGCTCTGGTTGGATTATCGGTCTCTGGTCCAGCTCGGGTTCCTGGTCTGGCCTGGACACTGACTTAGAATCTGGTTCCACTGTTGCCATTTCCTTTAGGGCAGATGTTGATGTCACAGGCTCCATCCTTCTGAGCCCCCAACCTCACCCCACACCTCCCTCTTCACAGATGTCTTGTAATGTCACCTCCCTCTGGGGTCTAGTCCTTCATCCTGGCACCCCCTGGTCTTTCTTTTTAAGGCAGCTGGCTGGTGGGTTGATCCCTGTTGCCCTCCCACCCCTGTGCCAACTAATGCCCTCTGTGACTCCTCCTTTGGGGGAGGGGCTAGGACTGGAGGAGGCTCTGTGCCTTCTGCTCTCCCCAGAAGGGAGGGGCTTGGCCTCTTGTGTCATAAATAGGGCCCCACCCTCCCACCGGTCAGTTAAAAGGCTCCTTTGCATGAGGAAAACACCCCAGTGTGGTCTTCTGTTTCATCTGGGACCAGACAGGCCAGTTATGGATGAGTGCTTCTTTTCTTTCCCCTTCCTTTCTCCTTCTGATGTTTGAGGAAAGGGTCAGAAAGGGACAGAGTATACTCCTAATCATTTTCCCTCTTTACTCATTACTACAACTGCTTGCCAGTTTAACCTCCTTATATCGTCGTTCATCACACCAATGCTAAAAAAAAAAAAAAAAAAAAAAAAAAAGGGAAGTCCTCCTGTTTTTATAGCCAGAAGCCCTCTGGAATGACATTTGAGATTCTCAGCTGGGTGTGGTGGCTCACACCTGTAATCCCAGCACTCAGGAGGCTGAGGCAGGAGGATCATTGCGAGTTCAAGACCATCCTGGGCTGCAAAGTGAGCTCAGGGCCAGCCTGAACTGCACAGTGAGACCCTGTCTCAAAAAGACAAAAAAAAAAAAGAGATTCTCCACACTATCTTTCTGGTCTTAAACTATCATTGTGCATCTATTCCTTCTGAACTAGCTTGGAAACCTACAGATTACAGTTACTATTGACGATAATGAGAGAGATAGCAATCATACATACCGTAGGCTGCCTACATCCTAGGAAACTGTGACAGCTTCTAATATTTTCCATAAGACGATGTCTGATTCATTGCTATATCTGCTTTCTTTGCTCCGCCCAGCTCTTACCTCAGGAAGATTTGTTGAATGAGAATAGAAAGGAGGGAATTGGTATCTGCCTGTAATCCTAGCTACTCAGGAGGCTGAGGTAGGAGAGGCAGCCTGGGGAACTCAGGAGACTCCGTCTCAAAATAAAACAAAAAGAGCTGGGGATATAGCTCAGCACTCCCTGGGTTTCAATCCCTGGTACCCCACACCCCCAGAAAAGAAAACAGTAAGAAATTGAGCAGTAGAGAAAGAGTAAGGGTCTTGGACAGGGGTGTATGTAGACTCTGGGCTGGACTTGGAGTGAACAGGGCAAAGTGGATCGCGTGGATTAAATGTGAATTGTTAGACTCCATTTAAAAGAAGTGAATTTTTAAAAAATGAAATTAAAAAAAATTTAAATCGGGCATGGTGGCGCACACCTATAATCCCAGCACTTGGGAGGCTGAGGCAGGAGGATCGTTGCAAGTTCAAGACCAGCCTGGGCTACAAAATGAGATAAAAGAAATGAATTTGACCCTATTACATTTAAAAACATTTATTAACTTCCGTTTATTACTTTCTGGGTTGTATTTAAGGTCAAGTGAGACCGGCTAGAAGCATAGGGTTTCCTACTTTCTTTCAGGCAATTGGGTAATTAAGCTTTAAACTGGGTAAGAGGGAAGACACGGGGAAATGCAGAAGAAAACAGTAGAAGAAGCAATGGTCAGTGTGATGTGGGGAAAAATGCCTTTGGAGCACAGCTTGGCTGAGGGAGAGCGACGGGAAGGGTGTGCTCTAGGTGTGTTCGCTGCCTTTTTGATTGAGAAGGTGTAGTTCAGAGCCCTTACAAAGGCAGGGCGATGCTTGCTAGTTGACACTGTTTGAGAAACTCCTGGCAGGCTCTGGAGTGCTTGCTTGGCTTCCTGTGGTGCCTTTGGTGTCCTAGGGTACAAATAAAGGAGAGGCTAGTGCTAAACGTTTTTAAAAGTTTAGTTTCAACGAGAGCTTTAAAATGATAATAGTAAGATCTGTCTAATAGAAAACAGTCAAATTAAAAACATTCAAGAAGTAAAAGGTTTTCTACCAACCTGCTGTTAATAACTCTGCTATACATTCTTCCCAATCTTTTTGGATATAAACATAACAGCTTACTTTTATTTGTTTACTTACTTATTTATTTATTTTAATAGTTTACTTTCAAAAACAAGATGAACTGGGCATGGTGACACACACCTGTAATCCCAGCACTCTGGGAGGCTGAGGCAGGAGGACTGAAGATTCAAGGCCAGCCTGGGCTACATAGTTAGTTTGAGGTCAGCCTGTAACATAGCAAGACCTTGTGTCCAAAGTCCAACAAAACAAAACAAAAACAAAACTAAAAAATAAAAAGATTATACTTGTATTGCTTTGCCTGGCACCTTGAACAAGTCTTTTATTATTGCCAAATACTATTATTGCCAAATCTATAGAAATTTATGAAAACACAGGCGTTGAGGTAGAGCTCTCCTGAGTGGGGTCACCACCCTTAGAGGAGAGCAGAAGGAGCTAGGTCACTCCTTCTGCTGCATGAGAGCACAGGTAGGATCATCTGTGAACCAGAAAGTGGGCCCTAAATTTACTGGTAACTTGATTTTGGACTTTCCAACTTAGTTGAATCCACCAATTATGAAAAATGTATTTCCACTATTTATAACTATTCCATCTATGATATTTTGTTATAGCACCCTCAAAGAACTAAGACGGGGATCTGGGGATTTAGCTCAGCGGCACAGTGCCTGCCTGGCAAGTGCAAGGTTGTGAGTTTGATTCCCAGTACCAGAAAAAAAAAAAAAAAAAAAAAAAAAAAGAACTAAGACAGTGCATGAAATCATGCTATAGTTCTTCCCTTGTGTCTTTTGATCAGTTTCTAGAGGAGTTATGAGCAATGCTGCCAGGGAGTTGTACATGTCTTCTACTGCAGCTATGTGTAACAGGAAAGCCCCTCCCCCCAGGCACTATACTTCAGTTTCTTAGTTCCCCAGGTTCTATTTCTGGTTGCTTTTGGTTTTTTAGAAACGGCTGGTCACTGTGATGCATATTATAAGAACCAATCCCCAACTGACAAGCCATTCTGCCTCTGCACGTCCTGCTTGCTTATCCGTGTAAGCTCTAGACCACCAGAAATCATGGCCTGTCGACGTAAATAAATCTGCCTCCAAATCCTGGTGTCATTTCGGTGCTTCTGCTTGCTGTAGCAGGTGAGCGTTCCTTTTGAGTATATACCTAACGATGGAATTGCCTGGTCATATAGTACACGTGGCTTAAGCCTTACTACGTAACTGCCAACACTTTTGCAATGTGATTTATCATTTACACTACCACTGTCAGCGCAGGAGAGTTTCTCTATTCGTCGCCAATGCTTGGTATCATCGGACTTTAAAAATACTTCGTCAATTTGACAACTGTACAGTGATAATCTCATTCTGGTCTCACTGTGTAACCCAGGCTGGCCTCAAACTTGAATGGATCCTCCTGCCTCAGCCTCCCAAGTGCTGGGATTACAGGCATGTGTTACCACCCCTGGCTCATTTGGGACTTAATCCACACTTTCTAAATAATAGTAAGATTAAGTGTCATTTCATGTGTTTATTAGCTATTTGGTTTTTCTCATCTGTGAAGTGGTTAGTCAAGTGTTTTGCCTACTTGACAGTTGTATTGCTTGCCTTCTCACTGATCTACAGGGATTCTTCACATAATCTTAACACACTAATCCTTTGTAGGTTGTATAAATCACAGTCATCTCCTACTCTCTAGCTTGTCTTTTTTTTTTTTAAGGCAAGGTCTTGCTCTGTAGCCCAGGCTGGCCTCAAACCCTTGGTCCTGCTCCCTCAGCCTCCCAAGTGCAGGGGTTACAGGTGTGCACACCCACAACCTGCTAAGGAAGGCCTTTCTCTTGAAACTCACTGCTTTTCTTCACGTTGACCTTGACACGATCACAGGGACATTGCTTCTTTGGCAGCCGGGACACTGCCATGAGTTTTCTCCTCAGGGCTCTCAGGAACCAATCTGAAAGAACAGGTTGCTGCTTAGATAACCGGAGGGCTTGTGTGTTTGAGAGCAGGGAGTGGGGCGGGGCCTTCCTTGCCCTCTTCTGGGCCTTTGGGCTCCTCTCTGGTACCGCAGTGGGCTGTGAACACTAGGACCTCTGAGTTGTTTCCCCTGAGCTCTGCAGGCAAGGATTTGGCGGCAGGTGTAGAGGGGGCCCCAGGATATCATTGACAGACCAAAGGATGAAGAGTGAGACTTGGTGTGATTTTTCTAGGGCTGCTCTACCTTGGGCAAGAGATCTTGCCTCCCTTTTGGTCTTTGCCGTGAGTGAAATAAGGCTCAGAATAGCATCCAGGATGCCTTTGGAGGCGCGGGGCGGGGAGAGTACAAGTCCTTTTGGAAGGCAGCCCTGGTCTTTTTGGGGAAAAGGGAAGGGGGCGGGGTCAGCTTGCGATTTTAGCTGTTAATCCTCCAGACCCTGGGGGCATCTAGTTCTTGCCTGTGCAAGAAAGAACAGAGAGCAGATTGTGCAGGGCTGCTGAGGTCAGCTCTCATCGCATCTGCGTGGGTCCCGGAGCCCAGGGCAGACCGCTGAGGTCACGGCGGTGCCACCATTGTTATCCATGTGGAGCTACTGACCTTTGCACTCGCATTCCTGGCCGCCTTCGCGGAGCCGGCTCCTAGGAGCCTGGCGCTGGTCCCTGCGGCCTCTGGCGACCCCTGTTGAGAGGAAACGGATCACTTGCAGGCTCTGGAAAGGGAAGGAGCCGCAGGATCGGTCTGCCTGCCGCACCGTGCTAACGAGCTCCGCCCGGTCTGTTTCGCCTGCTTTGTAACTTTGACAGTCTAGGGTATTTCAGGAGAGGAGCATTTAAAATGGATAGGGAGTGGAGGTTTAAAATTTAGCCTAGAGAAAAGCTTAGCCCAAGGTAGGTGGAGAAAGACTGGCTTTTGAATGGAAGAAAGGATAAAAGGTGGGGGTTTCCTAAGACTCTGACGCTTCCCTGAGCCCCATGTTTAAATACTTATGACTTAAGGAACGGGAGCAAGGGGCACATTAGTCCACAAGGCAAGATTTCCACCTGACCTCCAAGTCGCTGTATTTGAATCCACAATCCCAGTTCAACTCTAGAACGATGTTATTTATGTTTTGCCCTCTAGAACAAATACTTTTTTTCCTGGTCTTTCCCCAAGCCAAGTTTACTGTGATGCCTGAAAAAGATTGCTTTTGGATCTCGCTGTATTACTTAGGCTGTCCTTGACCTCCTGGGCTCTAGCAATCCTCCTGCTCCAGCCTCCCGAGTATGCCAGGCAGCCAGGTGCCTGCCATTGCACCTGACTCTAAGATATTTTTGTGACAACCAAGGATGATGGTGTACAGATTTGAGGTCCTCACACTAAAACTGGGCCCACACAACGCCTCCACTATATGGTAGTTTCTGATATTTCTTGGCACAGTCAGTTATGCCTTTCCCACGGTTCTCATTGTGTTTGTACGCAGCTCCAACCCTTCCTCCAGCTAGCGTTTATTGTGTGAAATTGGTTATGGACTGGACCGTGCCCCACAGACTTCACATGTTAAAGCCCTACCTCCCCATACCTCAGAAGGACTCCACTCCAGTCTGACCGAGGTCCTTAAAAGAAGTTGAGACTTGAACACACAAAAAAGCCCCTCAGGATGTTTGAACATAGAGAAACAACCATGTGAGGGTACAGCAAGAAGATGTCTCAACTAAATGTTTGTGTCCCCCTAGAATCCTTACATTGAAATATTTAAAAAAAAATTTTAAGTGCCTGCCTGGCAAGCTCAAGGTCCTGAGTTTGATTCCTGGTACCAAAAAAAATTTTTTAAATGTTTGTTAGTACGTGTTTGCAGCATGTAATGATTCCCCTCGTCATGGGGGCTTGGCACACGTGCATAAGACATCTTAATTCTTTTTTCGTACTCTGTTCCCCTCTATCCCTCCTCCCTCCAGTTCTTGGTACCCTTTCTTTTTGCAAAAGATCCATCTCCCTATTCCCTACTGTCTATATTTTATTGTGCTCTTTATTTATATTTTGGGTTTCTCATATTTAAGCTCATGTGTGTGTTTCATTGCACTTAACGTTATGGTCTTAAGGTGCATCTATTTTCTTACTAATGATTCAAACTTATCTTTCTTTATGGCAGAGTAGTACTCCACTGTGTATAAATTCTACCCATTTTCTTTATCCACCCATCCATTGATGGACATATAGGTCACTTCTAAGATTTAGCTATTATGCATTGTGCTGCTATAAACATGGATATACCTGTATCACTGTGATATGATGTCTTTCACTTTTTCAGGAAGATCCCTGGAAGGAGTATAGCTAGGTCTAAAGGAATTTCTATGTTTAGTTTTTGAGGAGTCTCTACTATGGATTCCATAGTGGGGGCACTAGTTTACATTCCCGCCAACAATGTAGAAAGCTTTCTTTTTCCCTGAAGCCTCATCAGCATTCATTACTATTTGATTTTTGTGGTGATAGCCATTCTTTATAGATCAAGATGGAATATATTAGTATTGCTTTAATTTGTATTTCTTGAATGGCCAGAGATGCTGAACATTTTTTTTTTTATGTACTTATTGGTCATTTGTACTTCTAAAAAGTATCTCTTCATTTAAGTTGCCCATTTTTTGTTTGGGTCTTTCATTTGGGGGGAATCTATTTTTTACACTTTTACTTATTTATTTTTTTTGAGACAGGTTCTTGCTATGTAGTTCAGGCTGGCCTCAAACTCACAGTGGTTGGGCTGGGGATATAGCTCAGCAGCACAGTGCCTGCCTGGCAAGCTCAAGGTCATGAGTTCAATTTCTGATACCACAAAAACAAAACAAAATAAAACAAAACAAAACAAAACTCAGAATCAGCCGGGTGTGGTGGTGCACACCTGTAATCCCAGCACTTGGGAGGCTGAGGCAGGAGGATCATTGTGAGTTCGAGGTCAACCTGGGCTACAAAGTGAGCTCAAGGCCAGCTTGAATTGCATAGTGCGGCCCTGTCTCAAAAAGACAAAAAACAAAACAAAACAAAACTCAGAATTGCTTCAGCCTCGTAAGTGTTGGGATTATAGGTATGTACCACTATGATCAGCTGCATGGGGGGGGGTTAGGTTTTTGAGTTTTTTTTTGTTTTTTTTTTGTTTTTTGTTTTTGTTTTTGTTTTTGTTTTTCTCCGGTACCAGGAACCGAACTCACTACCTTGCGCTTGCCAGGCAGGCGCTTTTGCCGCTGAGCTAAATCCCCAGCTCCAGGTTTTTGAGTTTTTAATATACTCTAGATATTAGCCCTCTGTCTAGGGAATAACCGGCAAAAAATTTCCTCCCTTGGGTAGATTGTTTCTTCACTTTGTTGGTTGTTTCATTTGCTGTGCAGAAGCTCTTTAATATAATCCCGTTTGTTGATTCTTGATGTTATTTCTTGTGCAACCGGGCTTCTATTTAAGAAAGACCTTGCCTACGCCTAGTTTTACTTATTTTATCTTCCAGTAGATTGAGTTTCTGTTTTAAACCTTAGATCTTTGACCCACTTTGATTTTAGTTTAGTGCGTGGTGAGAGATACGGCTCTAGATCCAATCTTCTGCGTGTGTATGGCCAGTTTTCCCAGCACCATTTGCTTCAAGGGGCTGTCTTTCCCCCAGTGCATGTTTTTGGCTCCTTTGTCAGAAATCAGATAGCTAGATGCGCCTGGCGGTGTCTCTGCATCCTCTATTCTGTCCCACTGACCCACAGGTTTGCTTTTGGCCAGTGCCGTGTTGAAATCTTAACCCTCAGTGTGATAGTATTAGGAAAGGGACCTTTGGGAGGCAATTGGGTGGTGAAGATGGAGCCTGCATTAGTGAGGTTAGTGCCCTAATCAAGGGACCCCACATCTCTCTCTCCCTCCCTGTCCCTTCCCCGCCTCTTTCAGATATAAGTAGCTGCTGTGTCCAGGCTGAAAAAGGACCCTTGTAGATGCCCAGTCACGCTGATGCTCTGAGCTCGGGAATCCCACCTCCAGAGCTGTGAGAAATACATGTCTGTTGTTCATATGTTGCTGTCCATGGCACCTTGTAGTATGAGCCCAAAGGAAGACAGCAACTATTTGCAAACCATGGACAGAGGCTCCCCTGACAGCACACCTGCCGAGACCTTAGATGTTGAGTCTCCAGAACGGTGAGAAAATAAATTTCTGTGGTTGAAGCCACCCAGTCTCCGCTATTTTCCTAGGCCAGTTCTAGCAAATTAAAACAGTCTTTCTCCCTCAGAACACTTAGAAGTAATCATGCAGTAGCCATTCAGCTACGCAGTTCCTGGGCAATGTTGTTTGGTAAGTAGACAAACAAGTTATTTGGAGCCGGCCCGAGAGATCAGCTGATCAGATTTCCCAGACCTGTGTCCTTTCCGCCGCACAGATAGAGAACGTTGTCTCATTTCTCCTACTGTGAGTTTTCAAATGTTCTCATGAGCTGTTCTGAGAGCTGTTCAGATAAATTAAACAAGTGGAGCCCCAGCCATCGAAATTTTTCTAACATTTTACTCTGATATGACCTCTCCTCTTTGTTCCAGAGAAAAGCCACAGAGTATTAGGGTGAAAAGCAAAGTTGGAAAATATTTAATTAAATCCTTTAATTGAGAAGGTTTTTCATTCTAAGTATATAATACAAATATTCTAGAAAAAATCTTGAAGGTACAACAAATAACTCATTATTCTTACTAACTGTTGGTATTTGGGCACACTTGGGCATACCT